ATGTTCTAGTACAGTGGTGGACAAACTTTTTGGCCTGAAGGCCACATCTGGGAATTATATGGTAGGCCATGAATGCTCACGAAATTGGGGGTTGGGGTGCAGGGGGTGAGGGCTCTGGCTGGGGGTGCGGGTTCTGGGGTGGGGCCAGAAATGAGTTCAGGGTGTGGGAGGGGGCTACGGACTGGGACAGAGGGTTGGGATGCGGAGGGTGGGGGTGGGGTGAGGGCTCTGGCTGGACGTGTGGGCTCTGGGGTGGGGCTGGAGATGAGAGGTTGGCAGTGCAGGAGGGTGCTCCAGGCTGGGACTGAGGGGTTTGGAGGGTGGGAAGGGGATCAGGGCTGGGGCAGGGGTTTAGGGCGCTGTAGGGGGTCAGGGATGCAGATTCTGGGCAGCGCTTACCTCAAGCAGCTCCTGGAAGCAGCGGCATGCCCCTCCTGCAGCTCCTATGTTGAGGTGTGGCCAGGCGGCTCTGTGCGCTGCCCCATCCACAGGTGCCGCCTCTGCAGCTCCCATTGGCCGCAGTTCCCAGCCAATGGGAGCTGTGGGTGCCGTACTTGGGGTGGGGTCAGAATGCTAGCCCCCTAGATGCCCCTACGCATAGGAGCCAGAGGGGGGACATGCCGTTGCTTCCAGGAGCCGGGCGGAGCCATGGTATGCGTGGAATGGGGCAAACCCCCAACCCCGCCCCCCGGCTGGAGCACCAGAGCAGGGCAAGCCCTGGAGCCCACTCCCCAATGGGAACTCGAGGGCCGGATTAAAATGTCTGAAGGGCCGGATGTGGCCCCCGGGCCGTAGTTTGCCCATCCCTGTTCTAGTAGTTGCAAATATTTTTTAAAAGTAGGTTCTCTTGTTTTTTGACTATTACGAAATTGTATTTAAGCAACTGGGCATATGCATAGCAATCAAACTTTAAAAAGCTAACATAGTAAAATATGTTTTACCATCCTTCACTGCAAATGTTTTCTCATTAATTTATGGTCTTTGAGGTAATCTTACAAAATAAAGATTAAAAGTCTCTTGCATGTAACCAAGAATGCTTATTTAGTGAAAGTAATAAGATATTCCGGGTAAGCTTGAATGTCATTAAATATGACAAACATCGATGGATTTGTCTTATTGTCAGTCACACTATCAAACAGATCTGTAGGATCAGTGTTGTTTTTTGATGGTGGTGCAATTATTCCTTTTTGTCCAGCACAATATTCTCCAACGAGGACTCGGGCCAGGTACATGTATTTTTTCCCATCTGTATCTGGTTTTGAGTAGGTATCATGGGCAGAATAACTGGCACTGACAGCAAAGTAGGTTCCATTCCCATAGCATGCAGCTGTGATCAGAAAGAGAAAGATTGGAGAATTTTTCATGAGCAACCATCATTTGTCTTTCACTTTTCTATACCCAAGATGCCTACAACCTTTGCCAAACCTTGTCATAAATAAAAAAAAGAACATCTGGGATTGAAATTAGGGCTACAGCACCATTCCCAACTTACTTGGCATGGAGCCTTTTACCAATGTCAAGTGTAATAATATCGAGCTGGCAGTTTATCACTTAGCTCCAGGTTCTTCTCTCACTGTGGAGCTGCTGCAGGACATTACACTCTCTCTGTTTATCCTCTGTGGAATCTCTCTTTCACACTATTACAATTTAATATATTTGTGTTACAGATGTCATGACTGCGGTGGCACCATGTTTCTTGCACTGGGGCCCATTCCTTCTTACTGATATCTGGAGAAAATTGCTAAAACAAATAATATTTCATAAGCAGAATGGGCGTGAAGTGCACAGATATCAAATATGCCTTGAATATATTGTTAATAACTATACATCTTCTGGTCCCTAAATCAGGAAAGTGATCACTCCATTGAGTATACAAACAAGGTTAGAACATAAGAACGGCCATACTGGGTCAGACCAAAGGTTCATCTAGCCCAGGATCCTGTCGTCCGACAGTGGCCAATGCCAGGTGCCCCAGAGGGAATGAACAGAACAGGTAATCATCAAGTTATCCATCCCCTGTCGCCCATTCCCAGCTTCTGGCAAACAGAGGCTAGGGACACCATCCCTGTCCATCTTGGCTAATAGACATTGATGGACCTATCCTCCATTAACTTATCTAGTTCTTTTTTGAACCCTGTTATAGTCTTGGCCTTCTCTGGCAAGAAGTTCTACAGGTTGACTGTGCATTGTGTGAAAAAATACTTCCTTTTGTTTGTTTTAAACCTGCTGCCTATTAATTTCATTTGGTGACCCCTAGTTCTTCTGTTATGAGAAGGAATAAATAACACTTCCTTATTTACTGTCTCCACACCAGTCATGATTTTATAGACCTCAATCATATCCCCCCTTAGTCGACGCTTTTCCAAGCTGAAAAGTCCCAGTCTTATTAATCTCTCCTCTTCTGGCAGCCGTTCCATTGTTACAAGCCGTGGTTACAAGATGTACCTTTGTTCACCCCACCTCTGCTTGCTCACAACAGAAGACCAACAATCCATATCTTAAATGTTTGAGGCATGTCTAAGGAATCCCAGATAATAAGAAACTGGTTGGGTGTGCACACTTTCTAGTCAGACTTCAAGGAAATTTATTTGGGTATTTTAACTAAGTGATTCTAAAAATGTTTCTCCTTTGTAAGTTCAAGCAAACTAGAGTAGTAGAACGTCAAAGAAAACTTTTAAGCAAGTGTTTTTGATGTGTTAAACTAGTCCATTTCAAATCAAACCCTAGACAAAGTGCATCTTTACATCTTGCAGAATGACCTGAAAATTAATAAATGTATTACAAATACTGAAGAACTGACAACTGTTGATTATATACCTATGGGGTTCTGGGTGAATTAATAAAAACTTGTTGACTGGTTATGAATAACTGTGTCCTGATCTGAGACACATTGTCGAAGGTAAAAGTAGACCTGAGAAGAACTATCTAGGTGGAGAGGAGAGCAGATGCTGCATACTCTCCAAAGCTAATGCATCAGCCACTCTCCCCAGACCTTTGAGAGACACTTTCTGCTTCAAACACAATACCTCCTAGCGCTTCCATTGGAGCAGTGAGTCATTAGCTAAAACAGGCACAGCAGAACACTGAAGATGAGCATATTAAACTACACTGAGCTTCTGCATACAACTATATTCATTCACAGACTGGCAAAGTAGCCTAATTCTCCCTTTACCCTCGCCCCAATAAGAAATCGGAGTCCAATCCCAGCTGTTGAATCCTCCTACTACATACACCCCCCCCCCAAACACATAGCACCTACCAGCTGCCTAAACTCTCCTCCTATAACCGCTCCACACCAAAAAAATAAACCACAAAGACCCACCCATCCCACTCCCAACACAGTCCAGCAAATCCTAGATAAATACACAGGCAAGAACTGCTTCCAGCTCTCACGAGGTACTCAGCTTTCAAGTGTCATCTACCCTGAAATTGGGTAGTATTGTAAGGGTTAGATATTATCAGTACATCATACTGAAAACAACAGGCAAATATTAGAGCTACGTGTCATAGCCATGTGAGATGCTCTATTTGTCCACAGTGAACATTATTAAAAAAAAAAAAAAAATCAGTATTTGTCAACAGCATTTTCCAGACAGCAGTACCTGAGATACCACTTTATTCTGACACCTTGAACAGAAAATAAATCGGATGTATGGTAGGTTGGCAAATGTTATCTTTTAATGGCTCTCTCTGTATCTCTATCTTAGGTGTATCTAGTGCACCAATCAACATGGAAAATGAGGGGGTATTTCCTGGAAGAAGGCAGAGATCGGGGGTTCTGAAAATGGGAAACAAATAGGGAGTTTCTGGAGGGACATTGGGGCCGAGAAGGGAAGCAGAGACAGAAAGATGGATGATCTGACATAATATTGTCAGTTATACAGCAGTAATAGTATTGTCTCACAGTACTCTACAAAATTGGGGGCCGGTGAGAGGACTCTGGGACAGGACACCTAGAGAATCTCCCTGCAGAATTCCTCCTCTATCATTTTGTTTTGAGGACTGAGGTTCACCCCTACAGAACAGACTGTGGGGCTCATTTCCATTTTTGGCCAATCCTAGGAGGTCAGGTCCAGCTCCCTGGCAGCACAGATCCACTAGAACCACTTCACCAGGGACTCACTCTGATCACAGTTGTCCCCATACCAAAAAGAACATTTAGTACTATGCTGTATTATCTTTTCTGATTAACCTTCACAGGACCAAATGGACAAAATACTTATACGCTCCCAGCCAATTCACAGATCTCTCTGATCTGCCATTCTCCACCCTTTCCATTCTGCAAAGGAGGTTTATCCTTCTTCAGCATGGCAGGTGTGAGATCTACATGTGGAGGGAGACAATCCAGACAGATATAAATAGGAAATGCATGCCTCCTCTGACCAGACTGTGGTGGGACTGTCAGCACAACAATTAGTTAACTTTTAAAGTAATACTGTCCCATAAAATCACCTTGCTGATTCCAGGCTCACAAGAGAACTTAATCAGTTGATCACATTTGAATTTTATTTTATGTTGTCTGCACACATGTATCTTTGATGCACTATTTGGCATATACAAAAAGAGGGCTGGTAGTCGAAACTCCCGAGGTCTATTTTCAGTTCAGCTATTGGTCCCTTGGCAAGATGCTTAACCTCTTTATGCCGTGGTTTCCCCATCTATAAAATGAGGATAATACTTCCTTGCTTTACAGGGATGGTAGGAGCCTAAATGCATTAACGTTTGTGAAGTGCTCTGAGATCTTCTGATGAAAGGAAGTGTCGAAGTGTTAAAAATCATTATTGTATTATTACTTCTAAAGCTGAGTCATGACTGCAATGGAGAACAGCTGAGGCAAATACAGAATACAACCTATGTACAGAAAGGAATAGTCTCCCGGGCCAATAAGGAATCACTGTGCATCTGAGGCATGTGTATATAGACGGCATGATAACGTTACACCTTGTCATCCTATTTTATCCCATGCGTATGAAAGCAACATGCTTTAAATTTCACATTACCATTCATTCCGGCGTAACTGCGATTAAATCCCTTATTATTAATAATGGTTAATGAGCCACTCGTTGTTCCATGAAATAGACGCCTCTCATTATTTGTATTGCCATTTTTGGAATCCATCTCCTGCTTTTTTATTTGGTAGGTCTGCCAGTAGAATGGATTTTGTATCCTTTCAATCTACAACATTAGAAAAATGAAATATTATGATAATGACCAAAACCCTTGGCAGCAAATCCGAAAAACATGATGATTAATTACAAAGGGGCATTTTCTAGCCCTATTTATACTGATATTTCTCTTGTGTAACTCCACTAAACGATGTAATTTCTCCAAATTGACATGGGTATAACTGATGGTGTGACTGGCACGGATTGTGTCATTGTGATTAGTTATGATAAATGCAGCACTAGGTATTCCATGAAATAGAAGCTTCTCATTATTTGTGCTGCCATTTTTGGTATCCATCTCCTGCTTCTTTATTAGGCAGGCCTGCCAGCGCAGTAAGGATGTTCTATGCTCTCAATCTACAAAGTTAAAAAATGAGACATGATATTGATAATGACCAACACCTGCAATTAAAGCAGATTGATATTGGCATCACTTGAGAGCAGCACCTGGCCCACAACGTGATACAAAATATTTTGCTTTCAGAGCCTCATTCTGTGACTGATATGTCATTTTTATAGTTGGTTAACAGGATATCAAAAATATTTAGAATGTGCGGTAAGACAAGTGTAGTTACAAAAATAACATAGCCATTTAGGAAAAGGTTCGTTAGTTAGATTCTCTCTGTACCATTTCACAGCTGTCCCGTATCTTTTATATATCTTCAGTGAGGTGCTAGCTCTCAAATGGCATGTTGCAGTGGTTAAAATATATCAAAATATGATGGGGAGATCACCAGTTTTGGTGGATGTTGTTACTGTCTTGCTATTATATGATGATGTGGTAGCTTCTTGTGATGATCGGCATGCATCAAAAGGAAAAGAGTAGAGACCAGCCAAGAAGTGTATCTGAAAGGAAACAGTGCCCCACCAGGCCTACATCCAGCTAAACAAGTGTATGCATGTGTGAATTAGCAATGTGGTAATCTGTGTAGCAGAACATCCCAATTCATCTAATCGCCATCATTTAGACTTGAGCAAGATGGCACATCTGTACTGTTGTAACAATTATTATAACTGGTAGGTCTAAAGTCCTGCTCCAGGACATGTTAGAAGATTTAAGGTATTTCAAAAGAGGGATTTTGCATAAAATTAAATGATTATGTATTGTTTGTGTGTCTTTTCTCCTCAGCAAGTGGAGAAGCAACTGGCAGCGTTTGGTCTGGAAAAGAGAGGGAGATGGCCAGTGGGCAGAATGTCTTTTATGGGAGAGGAAGTGGAAAGGTATCTCCTCCTATTGCTCACACTTCAGATTCTCTTGCTTGGAAAGTCCTCACTACCCCAGCCAGAAAGAAGGGAGAGCTCCCCCAAACCAGTGGGATGAAGAGGAAGGAGAGCTTATCCTCTGCTTTTAGAGATCTGTTCTCCTGCACTCCTCCTTAGTTTAGCTTCTTGGGTGCTAGAATTTAAACAACAGTACATTGCTATGTTTCACTGTAGCAGAAAGGCTACTATGAAAGGGTTAATATCGTGTACTAAACATATGACTTATATGCTGAATAAGATTTGCTTTGAATATTTTAACTGTGATGTTAACTTTGATAATGGTTAGCATTATGGTGATATCGATACCATCTGCTTTGCCAGTGTTAAGATTCTTTTTGTAGATCCTTAATATTCTCCCAAATCATCTAACTAGCAGGTTGTTTGCACACACCAGCAGGTGAGATGTTGGCTTTGTCTACACTAGTAATTTTCCTGAAGTCTCCCATCTTTGTAGTACCACTGGTGCAACTGCACTGCTGGCAGTAACAGTGGAAGTGCTAGTGCAGACAAGGTGCTGGCAGCCAGCGTTTTAAACACCATGGGCCAGATTTTTAAAGACATTTAGGCACATAAAGATGTAGACAGGAGCTGAGTGAGATTTTCAAAGGCACTTAGGTGTCTAACTCCCATTGATTTCAACCACTAAGTGCCTATCTGCATTTTTAGGGACCTAAACACGCCTCTACCTCGATATAACGCGGTCCGCGGGAGCCAAAAAATCTTACCGCGTTAGAGGTGAAACTGCATTATATCCAGAGGCTCCTGCCGCTGCGGGAAGCCCCGGGCCCTCTAAATCACCTCCGGAGCTCCGGCAGTGGGGCTCGGGCAGCGCTTTAAAGGGGCCAGGGCTCCCCGCAGTGGCTGGAGCCTCTGGCCCTTTAAATCCGCACCCGAGCCCGGCTGCCGGAGCCCCGGAAGCTGGGCTTGGGCGGGGATTTAAAGGGCCCGGGGCTCCACACAAATTTGGATATAACACGGTAAAGCAGCAGGGCTCGGGCAGCGCTTTAAAGGGCCCGGGGCTCCCTGCTGCTTTACCGCATTATATCCGAATTCGTGTTATATCAGGTCTCGTTATATCGGGGTAGAGGTGTACCTTTAAAAATCTGACCCCATGTTGCCTAGACTTGCTCTCAGCAGGATTAGAGTACATGGTGATTATAACCCCAGCAACTGGTCTATAGTATGCTCCCACTGGCAGAGCTGCACGTAATGCAGTAGGGAGAGATTTTAGGAAAAAAGCTAGTGTAGATATAATGGTAGCAACCATCTTCATGGTCAAGTCCCTTTTTATTATATTTTTTGTAAGGAATTCCCTGTGTGTAGTCATCTCTAGTGTGCAGTTAGCTCTTAAAGAAGCACAGCAGTGGAACCAATCAGAGGAGCTATCGGGTCTTGCTTTTCCTGACTAGTTACACCTAGGAAGATCTCAGAAGGAATTTGGAGGTTCCAGGGGAAATCTCCACGAAGCATCCCATGTTTCTGAAAGGGGAATGCTGGCCACTCCCTAAAAGCACTGGACAGGGGAGGGGCCATCAACCAGCTCATAAAGACTCTAGAGAGGAGAGATGATCTCCTACATTCTTTTGATAGATGCTAGCAGACTGATGAGCTTCCCTCCCAAGAAGACCTGTCATAGGAGATCTGGACCCAGATATTCAGCTGATATAAACCAGCATCATTTCATTGGCTTCAATGGAACGAAGCTGATTTATACCAGCAGAGGTTGTGGTCTGAGATGTAGGGTGGAAGAAAGGTAGTGCTGATGTCTTTCCACCACCAGCCCCCATTCTCAGTACTGTCTTGAGAAGACTTGTTCTGAGAAGCAGTCTCACTGTAAGGTCGGGCAGAGTGACTTTGCTAGACTTCCGAAAGCTGGTGCTATATCTGTGATAGCTTACCTTCTTTTTTGAGCTTCCTTCTTCAAAGCAATAATAGGATCTCTATATATTATAAATAAAAACAGACTAGGAAAGGATATTCTTCACTGTGTCTGCGCATGGTTGGAAGTTGAAGCTAGACAAATTCAGACTGGAAAGAAGGCATGCATTTTTAATGGCAAGGGTAATTAACAAATGGAACAATTTACCATTTGTCCTGGTGGATTCTCTATCACTGACAATTTTAAAATCAAGATTGGATGTTTTTTAAAAGATCTGCTCTTGTTCAAAATGAATTATTTTGGGGAAATTCTATGGCCTGTTTTATACAGGTGGTCAGACTAGATGATCATAATGATCCTTTCTGACCTTGGAATGTATGAATCTATTATTCATTCCTCTCCTATCAAGGAGCTGTCCAAATTTAGAAATCCAAACCAACTCTTCGTCCACCCTTCGTTATCTAATCTAGTGCCAGTCACCAAGATATCTAGGCTCAGAAACCAGGACAGCATTTTACCTTTTCAATTTTGAATGATGAACATGTCTCTTGAAACTTCATCTGAACATCTTGATATTCTTTCATTTCTTGATGTAGCTCCACCACTTTGACACGTTCTTGTTTCATATCACACCACTCTTCAGGGAGAGTTACTAACTGTTTACCTGCAAAGTAAACATTCTGTTAATATGATTTACACTAGATTCCTCTGGTTATGCAGGCATATGCCTTATTTCAAATCCCGTCTGAAAGTAGAACACCCATTTATTATGCAATCTCTAATTAATGCCATTCTTTGTCAAGAGAATGCATAATCCATGGCTTCTGGATCAGATTTACGGATGCACCCAGGCTGCTTTCCACCCTTCTGGCAGCTCAAAGCAGCCATAAACCTATCTTAGCCAGACATCTGAAGGTTCACAGGTAAAAACATAAGAACGGCCATACTGGGTTAGACCAAAGGTCCATCTAGCCCAGGGTCCTGTCTTCCAACCGTGGCCAATGCCAGGTGCCCCAGAGGGAATGAACAGAACAGGTAATCATCAAGTGATCCATCCCCTGTTGCCTATTCCCAGCTTCTGGCAAACAGAGGCTAGGGACACCATCCCTGTCCATCTTGGCTAATAGACATTGATGGACCTATCCTCCATTAACTTACTAGTTCTTTTTTGAACCCTGTTATAGTCTTGGCCTTCACAACATCCTCTGGCAAGCAGTTCCACAGGTTGACTGTGCATTGTGTGAAAAAATACTTCCTTTTGTTTGTTTTAAACCTGCTGCCTATTGATTTTATTTGGTGACCCCTAGTTCTTATGTTATGAGAAGGAGTAAATAACACTTCCTTATTAACTTTCTCCACACCAGTCATGATTTTATAAACTTCTTAGCCTTAGTTGTCTTTTTGTACAAGTTGAAAAGTCCCAGTCTTATTAATCTCTCCTCAGATGGCAGCCATTCCATACCCCTAATCATTTTTGTTGCCTTTTCTGAATCTTTTCCAATTCCTATATATCTTCTTTGAGGGATTTTACTTTTGGTGCTGTACCTTTTAATTTCTATTTCACTAACCTCCCCATTTTTTTGTAGTTCCCCTAGTAGCCCACTAGCAGCTCCTGTGCCACACTCCTCCCCATGCAAAGTGGTGGCTAAGAAAAAAAGAGATGAGGATAGCTTGTTCCCTGGCTGCAATAACTGTAACCAAGAGGCCCAGAATTGAGGGAACTGTAAAGGTGGCTTCAAGTTTTGTGCTGACCCTAGCTCAGCCAGATTGGAAAATCTGACCCAGAGTTTTCTACTCTGCTTCCAATCGGTTGTCCCTTATCAGATAAATCTAATTGAGGTTAGGGACATTCCAAAGTGTTTACTCTTAGCCAGACACCAATTTGTCATCTTCATATTTTTCATATTTGTATTGTGGTAGTGCCTTTAAGGGAATTTGTTTCTAGTCTGTAATGTTTTCATTATACCAGGGAAAGAAAGGTTCTGTGGACTGAGCAGCTATGTGATCAAATTCAGGCGGGCAGCCCAGTCTTCCAACTCTAAATATTACCGTTCAAAGAAGGGCCTACAGATTTGGCCCTGCGTGGTTTTTACTCAGCCTGAATGGGGACTCAGGCAAACTCGCACTACACTCACTGTAAGTTTGTCCAAATGAGGACTGCATACAAATTAATGTTCTTGGAATATGGCCCTAATATGGTGTTGACATTACTATTAAAGGGCCACACTCTGACATCCTTGCTCAGTTTTCACACAATCCTTAACTAGGTAAACTCCCATCAAAGTAATAGGAGTTTTACCTAACGACTGAGTAAAAACTGAATAAAGACCTCAGTATTTAGCATATCCTTAGATTAATCTATATTGGAAATGCCTAAATTAGCCTGCAGTGTTGAAGAAGGGCTTTTTGTAGCATTTTTCACCATGACCCCTCCTTATGAATGAATGAATGAAATGGGGGAAAGCAGAAATGTTGACTGTAGAAAAGTTTGGGGATATAGGCCAACCCTCATCTCTTTCTTGTCTCTGTGCCTGGAAGTGATGGGGGATGGGAGATCGGCACAATTAATCCTTGCCACCCAGGAGAGCAGGCGGTCAATAGGCATCTGGGAGAACAAGGGAGTTTCCTTATTAAGCTAAACATAACCTCCCCTCAAAATATAAAGGCCAAACTCCACCGCAGCTGCATTTCTCTTTCTCAGTTCGTGTTAGAGAGGCTAAGACCTTAGCTGTGTTGTCAGTCAATGTGAAACTGGCTTGGATTTAAAGCAAAGGAACCCTCTGTTTAAGTCCTCCTCAATCACGTCTTTTCAAGAATGATAACGATTTCATAAAAACTGAAACTCTCTCCAAAAAGAACTGCAATTATACTATTCCTTAAACATTTATTCTGGTGGGGGCAGATGATGAACAGCTCCCTTCAGGAGTCTCCTCTTATTATTATTATATGTGTTACAGTAGCACTTGGAGGCTACAATGCCACTGTGACTGTACATATTTAATAGAAAGATGGCCCCTGCCCTGAAGCGTTTATATAATTCAAGTGTAAGATGAGAGACAACAGATGGATACAACAAACAAAAGAGGGGAAATCTCAGGGTACGAATGAGATGATTCTGATCTACGTGACAAGTGGTGGTCACCGCACACTAGCTGACGAATTATTATTGAGTTCTTTGTAGGCATCATGGTATTTATTTTCTGTATTTCTCAGTTTTAATAAATCCAAGAGCCTTTATCATCTTTGTTTCCGAATCTAGCACCTTTCTCATATGGCTGCTCAGAACTGTTAGTATTCCAGATGTGCACATGAACTGCTACTTTGTTTTCCCTTGTATATTCTCCCCACAACTCACTCATGCTAAGCTAGACACAATGTGGCCCTAAGTAACACCAAACAGCTTTCATTCACCTTCATCTTTTGAGACTCGTAGAATGGCCATAATTTTCCCTGTGTCATCTATAGCACGTTTGGCTTCCAGATCCACTTTATAGTTTTTATTCCAAATGGTGATGTTAATCTCTTTTTGGTTTAATGCTGCAGCATCCTCTAAGCGTAGATTTGTTAGCCTGTCAAAAGGCAGGTACCGATTATTTTCTAGATATTGCCACTCAACTAGGTTGCTGAGAAGTTCTGCCTTGGACTGTTCTTCTTGAACCGCTCTAACTCTTTTGATCATGCACTGAATTTCCAAGCAAGCACGTAAGACGTCTTTGGTAACACCAGATACTCGAATAAAGGGCACAGGGTCCTTGCATTCCAGCTGAATAATGATGTACAGTTTCTTCTGGAGGTCTGTCAGTTCCTTATATTCCTGGTCATCAAAGCTTGAAATCCATTCATCTGAGATAGTGCTTTCATGCTGTTCCTTTAAAATCAGGTTTTTAATCCAGGATACAGTATCTTCCACATTTTTTTGGCTTTCACCACAAATCTGAAAAACAGTTCTCTCAATTTTCTTTTCCAAAACCATTGCAGGCTTTTTTTCTGTAGCCGAAGAATGATGTTTCTGTTTTCCAAAGCCAAAGAATGCTGTAATGAAGTATAAATACTTGCAGTTACTCAGTTGCTAAAATTAAATAATGGTTATTTATGCCTCAGCTTAAAAATGAACAACCAGACATCTACTTACAAGCACATTTTGACAAGAAGGACTCTGATGCAGGTGTATCAGGTACATTAGCAGTGCCTTCTCTTTTCTGCATACATGCATGGAACACACTTAGTAGTTGTGGCTGGAAGATGATAATTTTAATGTTTTTCACAATTTGAACAGATTTATCACTTGCAAAATCAACTACAGCATCCATCATGTTATTAGCTACTACTGCTGGATCAAGGCCTGCCTGACCTGAAACAAATATAACAATACGTTGTTGAAAGACATTTAATACAGACATACTTTTATTCAAGTAATGGACCCAGGCACAACTAGATCTTAAACATAGCACCCAATCCTGCATTCTTTGATTCCAGTGATTCTCATTGATTTGAATGGATATTTTGGGTGACCCAGGAATGCAGAAGCAGGGCTAAGGAAGAATCGGGCCTAAGGAGATAGGTTCATATCCCATCCATCCAAGGCCTGTTCCTGCTCCTGCTCCTACAGAAGTCAGAGTAGAAACTTCCACTGATTTCAGTAGGAGCTGGAATAGGCACATAGACACCTTCCAGTGGGATATCCATAAACATCAGCTGAGACAAGCATTCATGGTTCTCTAGATAGCAATATCATATGGATATTCTCAAGTCTCTAACGTTAGAACATGACAGTCCTAAATCACTTGATATGGTTTTTATATTTAAGTTAACAACACTGATCTCCAGCTTCCTTATCATTTCAAAATCCTTGCTTTGACCTTCACTAGACGTTATTTGAATGCCCCAATGCCACAACAATTTTCTTAATATAGGAGAATAAACTTTTCAGGTAAATCAAATCTCTGGAGCACTGATGTCAATGGAATCACACAGGATGAATTTGGTCCCAAGAAGACTGATTGGTTTTAGTTTTATTTTCCAACAAAAACATAAACCTGTTCCAATTGCTGGGAAGGCAACTGATGTGTACTTCTTCAGTTCACACTCCTGGAGAACTTTGGAGACTAAAGATTTGGTATCGTTCTGGGCAACAAGATGAATTATTTTTTTGCACATCAGGTTTCCTGCTTGTGTGGTTATAAGGTCATCGTGAGGTTGTGAGGCTGAAAGATGAAAGAAAATATATAAGGCATGACAGAAAGTGATAAGTCCTTTAATTACCATAATGCAAACTTTTCTAAATCATCATCATCTTCGCCTGACACCTGCCTGTACTACCCTTTCCTTGAGCCCCTGCATTGGCTTCCAATCTCCTTCTTCACCAGATTCAAACCCCTCATCCCTGCTTTCAAGTCCACTGCTCAGCTTCCTTCCACATCTTATCTGGCCTTACTCCTCAGTTTGCTCTGTGCACTCAGGCAGCTTGGTGCAACTCAGTGCTTCACTGGTATCCGGATTCTCCTCTCTAGTGCTGTGGACTACACAGCCTCACTCCTCTTTCAACTCTCCCATCAGACCCACTTCCTTCAATTGCCTTTTAGTGCTAATCTACACATTTACCTCTTCCCTGACCTTCTCCCCTCTAGTTATGTGTACTTAAACACAGAACTCATACTTTTTTCCTGTCGGATCTTTATCTTCCATTGGTTGTATTTATCATTCCTCGATATCTTATGTCTAAAATTAGATATAACGTATATACTCGTTCATAAGCCGAATATTTTTGGTAAAAAAAGTGACGCATCAAAGAGTGGGGGCCGGCTTATAAACGGGTCTCCACCAAAATTTGATGATTTTAAACTCTATGGAATCATTGAATTGAATATCTAATACATTGTCGTTTTGTTTACCTGCAGCGTCTGCAGGCATGGAGCCCCTCAGCTCCCTGTGGCCGTGGTTCGCCGTTCCCAGCCAATGGGAGCTACACCACTTCCTGCAGCTCCCAATGGCTGGGAACGGCAAACCACGGCCACAGGGAGCTGAGGGGCTCCATGCCTGTGAACGCTCCAGGTAAACAAAACGTCCAGGCACGCTAGCGGCTTACCCTAACAGGCCAAGAACCAAAGTTTGCCAACCCCTGAAATATAGGGTCGGCTTATGAAAGGGTCATACAGTTGTTGCTATTTTTACCTAACCATCTTGGGGGGGTCGGCTTATAAATGAATGGGCTAATGAACGAGTATATATGGTAAGTTCCACAAAGGTAGGAACTTTCCTTTTTTACTTGTCTCTGAGCCATGCGGAGGATGCAGTGGGTTGCTGGGATAGGCCAGCAGCACATTGCTACTTCCTAACATCAGAAAAATGGAGACACAAGAAAGGAAGTCAGAGGGTTGTGTCAGAAGCACGTCTTCTGAGGCTTCTCCTGGGTGGTGCAGCTTATTTCATTACATATAAATATGTACCACCCAGTGCTCAGGCTCTGACCAAAGGCACCATCTAACCCTTTGTATTTTTCCCCAGTTTAGAAGGTTTTTACTGGCACAAGAGGATTAGTCATATGGCAGAGCAGGTTCTTTTAATTTATCTTGATGCTGACATCTCTTAAGGATTTTTCTTTTGCTTTGTACTTTATTTTAACATCTCTTAAGATGTTTTACGAGCATCGTATTAATTAATTAAGGAGTTGTGAGATCATGGATAAACACAAGTACAATAGTAGGTTAATTTTCAGCAGTGGTATGCACCCACCGCTCCCACTGCCTTCAGTGGAAACGGTGGGTGCTCAGTGCCTCTAGAAAGCAGGTCACAAATGTTGTATTTATACCTAGCTGAGCACATTCTGCTTCAACCTGTGGTCCAGCACCTTCCAGAATTGCCTTAGAGACACCTAAAATAAGAAAAGCCATATTAGTTTGACAAATCAAATTAAGAGTACTCTTAAAGTCTCATCTAGGTCAACAAGACTGAGTACACAATATATCTCACATCTGGCAATAGTATAGGCCAAGATTTTTAAAAAATAAAAGCCTAAATCAGATGCCTGTTAAGGCATCTGCCTGATCTTCAAAAGTGCTGAATACCCAACAGTTCCCAATGAGGTCAAATAAAACTGTTACTTCCTTATAGATAAGTCCTATAAAATTTAATAGGGATGAAACCAATAACTTTCTATAAAAAAAATAAAGCTTATAATATTTAAAAGAGAAAGATTTACTTTCTATGTAATGTTTAAACTTCATACAGACTGTAACAGGGTCAGGATGGCTTGCCTCTTGAGGGCTGGAGGGCGTAGGGGTAGTGAATCCTTATTACTAAAGAGGCACACCTGTGCTGCCTTTAAAAAACCCAATAAAGGGCAGCAAGTGGCTGCAGTGTAGGGGGAAGTTCAGGAAACTGCAGGAAGTAAAAAAGGGTTCTGCAAGAAAGAACCTAATCCCAGGGGGGTTTGGAAGCAAGAGCCACAAACCTGAGGCTCCATCTAGATTAGGCCTCGAAGTAGCCTGCCAAAACGGGGAAGGCCTGTAGGGTGAATTGGCGACTGCTTGGAGTGATCAGGCTCCAGCAGAAAAACTTGGGACATAAGGTTTCCCTATTGAGCCTACAGGCAGGAAAAGTTTGGGAGTGACCTGACAGATGGACTGCGTTTTGGAACTCTTGGGTTTTATTTTGGAGCTTTATTTAGGTGAATAAACTTGGACCCCTGAGAAGGGGTGGCGAATGGATCAGAAATGCCTGTGTGGAGTTTGTTTAAAAAGTCCTTTGAGGGAGAAATTGTTAGTAGATACCACAGAGGCATCCCTGGCCACAAGGGGTACATGGGAGGCAGCTGACCCCATTACACAGAACCTAACAGACAATGATTCCCTGCTATAGAATTCTACAGGGAGGTTTAAACATTCTAGAGAAAGAGTCTCATTCTCTATTAAATTCTATAGGATTTTTCTATATACTGGGGCGAACAGCATTGTTTTCTGTTGTAACAAATTATATCAAAATACAGACACTTCCTAGCACAGGCGCCAACTTTTTTCGGTGCCGGTGGGTGCTCGCGCCCCCCCCTCAGTTCCAGCCCTGCCCCGACTCCACCCCTGCCCCAAAGTCCCCGCCCCAACTCCGCTCCTCCCTGCCCCTACTGGATCCCTCCCCAAATCCCTGCCCCGGCCCCGCCTCCTCCCCCAAGCGCATCGCATTTCCCCTCCTCCCCCATCCCTCCCAGGCTTGTCGCGCAAAACAGCTGTTTCGCGGCACCAAGCGCTGGGAGAGAGGGGGGAGAAACAGGACGCAACGGTGCGCTCAGGGAAGGAGGCGGAGGCAAGCTGGGGTGGGGGGGCGGGGAGCTGCTGGTGGGTGTAGAGAACCCACCAATTTTTCCCCATGGGTGCTCCATCCCCGGAGCACCCATGGAGTCGGCGCCTTTGCTTCCTAATACAGCTTTCCCAGTTTGAAAACGACAAGGCACTATGTATAAAAAAAGACTTGTATATATTGAAAGTTCTTCCCCACATCCCCTTATGCACTCACAATGTATCTCATTAATCTCAATCACTAGGCTAAAGTACCTGTTTTGAGGTTAAACGTTTGATTTGATATGTTTACAATGACATCTGTCTTTTTCGTGGTAATGTCTCCACTTGCGATTTGGAATGTAATGGAACCAATCTGCATTTCATGCACTCCCTGTTTTGGGGTTGAAATGGGCCCAAAGAAAGCTGCAAGGGAAAATACAGAAATTAAAATGGATAAAAGTGTATCTCAGCAAATGTTCTATTCCCTAGAGTGAGGGACTCACCTGCCTCTATGTGCATTTAGTAGAGAGCTCACAAAAAGTTTGATTTTTAGTCTTAGTCTGTCACATTCCCACTGAGAAGATTACAAAAATACCTAGTTTACAATATAAAATTAAATGTTCACCCACACAAAGCCCAGGTAACTGCGTGGGAGGAAGTTGAGCTGGGGAGATGAGATCCACCCCCAATCTGGATCTAGGGCACACAGCTTCAAAACAACCTATCCTGCTATAGCTGCTGCTCCAATACGTAGGCTCAAATAGCAACGATAGCCCCGCAATAACAATGTGTTGGAGCCACTGCCTCTTTGTAAATGGAAAGTCCCTGGTCTCTATCTTTACCTGTTCCCATCACTACCCTCCAATCTGGGGTGGCACAGAAAACACTTTTACAGTGTACATGGAGCGGAGGTGATCCCTGTATGATTGTACACTCAACTCATACCAAATGGGCCCACTGCAGGATATATGAGTGGAAATGTGATTTAATATGAAAATAAGCAAGCTTGTGGAGTCACATTTTTTTCAGTAGCCTTTGGGCAGGTTCTCTATTCCAGGATCTGAATATTCTATTCTTTTAAAAATCTAATTAAGTTTGAAATATTTATCCTGTTCTTTGTAATCCTGTCAGGTTGGATAATGAAAAAAACTACCGTATATACTCATTCATAAGCCGAATTTTTTTAGTAAAAAAGGGCATCAGAGAAGGGGGTCGGCTTACGAATGGGTATAGAGAGGGAGAGGTGGGACACAGCCTCTCCCCGCAAGAGAGGGGGCAAGGAGAGACAGCAGAGCCAGAAGAGAAGAGGCGGGGCCAGAGTCTCTCCGCTTCTGGCCACTCTGCTCTCCCCCCAGCCTCCGAAGCAGCTGCAGCTCCGGGGCTGGCAGGCTGCAGCCGTGATGCTCAGCCCCGCCTGCTGGAGCACGCTGCAGCCGTGCCGCCGGAGCAGGTTGCGGCTGCACCACCTGGCCTGCCGTGGCCATGCCGCCCGGTTTGGCTCACCGGAGTAGGCTGCGGCCGTGCCACCCAGCCTGCCAGAGCAGCTCCAACCAGGCCAGAGACATCCTCCCCTGGCCCACCCCAGATAGGGTGGGAAGGAGAGTGGGGGGGGGGTCCCGGGCTAAGGGTGGGGTCATGTGGGGGGCAGTCACAGAGGTAACTTCCCTGACCCCCAGCTTCTCTTCCTTCCCCCCCGCCCCCCAAATTCCCCACAAGTTGCTGTCCCGGCCCATCAGGGTAAGCAGCTGGTGCACCGGGACACTTTGTTTACTTAGGGTTACTTCCATGCCTGTGGACGCTCGAGGTAAAAAAACCATCTCGGCCAGCCAGCGGCTTATCCTGATGGCCTGGGAGCCAAAGTTTGCCAACCCCTGAATTACAGAATCATAGACTCATAGACTTTAAGGTCAGAAGGGACCATTATGATCATCTAGTCTGATCTCCTGCACAACGCAGGCCACAGAATCTCACCCACCCACTCCCGTATCAGACCTGTGTCTGAGCCATTGAAGTCCTCAAATAGGGTCGGCTTATGAATGGGTCATAAACAGTTTCCATTTTTACTTATCGATTTTGGGGGGGTCGGCTTATAAATGAACCGTTTTATGATCGAGTATATACGGTATTTAGTTTCATATTTGTTTCTGATCAGTCCTACTTTCTTGCAGAATGTCCACTGATTTTAATAGGAGCAAGACTGGCCCCATGGGATGTACAATCCAGTAATTCACCAGGCTTCACAGGTGGTAGTAAAACTGTTTACCTGCTCAGAATCTTTGTTAGTTGGTACGCGGGTAAAAATACCTGTGCCCTGTCTACACTACAGCTTCTACTACTGTTATGACTGGTGGTGAATTATGGGCATGATTTTTACTAGTGTACACAAACCTATTGCTGGAGAGATACAATTTTCTGCTTTTATTGATTTTTACTAATAGGATTATCACTGCCTTACTTTGAACACCGGGACTGACATGTTCACCAAACCAATATAAAAAAATATATATTTGAAAAAAATTCTTAAAATTTTCACCTATCACTAGAATATTTATAAAACTTACAAAACATTAACAAAACAAACTTACCTTGTCCCTGCTGGGCATTCTCTGGCACAGTCTTGTGCATTTTTACATTGGTAATATTTCCACTTGCTCTATTTTGCAGTTCATCTGAAAATGCCTAGAAAGAGAACCATAGTCACCACTTGTAGACATAACTTCTTTAGAGTTTTCTCAGTAGTAATATAGATTTGAAAAGTAAAAATTAAATTTAAAAATGTTTAGAAAAAACTAAAGGTGATGGACTAGATGTTGTCCACCGAGCAATCTTATTCAACACTGAATGGAAATATTGATCAATTGGAATCATAAAGGAACCATGATTCCTTCAAAATTATGAGCAAGGGAGAGAAACTGGCAAATTGCTTCAGGTTTAACACCTTCAGGCAGTACAGTGAAAGTCTAATAGCATGTAATAGGGTGCATAGACAGAGGGCTTATTCCTAACATGAGTGATACCTCTAACTCAATTCCTGTCCACACACAAAAACCCTTAAAACTCAAGTTTGGTGGTGCTTTTAACGTAAGTTGGATGGCCCATCAGGGAGAATAGGCAGCAGCTCAAGTTAGCACAACTTGTCGGCTGCTAACACAATCACTGTATGCTGCTTGCAGCAGCATAGCATGGCTGCTCTTGTTCAAGCTAAGTGAACTCAAGAGGAGTTAAACTCAAGTGTAGATAACTTGAGTTAACTATTCAGTGAAGACAGAGCCAGAGCGAGGAGGGGGAAAGAGAATGCTACCTGAGGCTATGCATGAAAGATTCACATGACTCCGTGGGCTAAGGTATATTTCAGTGTTAACTGGTGCCAGCTCCAGCAAATGAGAAAAAAATTGTGCAGGAAAGCCAGGTGACTGTGTATGGAAGAATCAAAGGGAAGCTTTACATTATAGGAGGAGTCCAATGGCAATTCTATCAGAGCAGGAGCAGGGATCACCTCATAGGCCAGTGCCTGAATATTATTATCGAGATGGAAATCCAAGGATACTTTCTTGGCTAGCATGATAATGAGCACCTTGACATCTGCCCACATCAGAAGAATCATAATTTAATGGCCTCCAGACCAAAGGGGAATCGGACAATGACATGAGACACACTGTCTGTCTCCAGTAGTGCTTATTCTACTATTGCTCTAGCACCAGTGAAGCTCTACCAGTGCTAGCAATGGTGGAAGCACAAAGTAGACTGGCAACCAGTGTTTCCGCCACTCTATTATTTAACTCTTAGTGGTAAACATGCCTGTGACTGGTTTACACTAACACGTCAACCATTGCTACCAGTAGTGGAGCTGCACTGGTGCTAAACCAACAGTGCAAGGAGGACTGACCATTCCCGGTGTAGAAGCAGGAGGGAAAGAAGGATGAGACTTTAGGAAACTACTGACAAAAACGGTGTAATCTAGTTCTGGGCCTGACATCATTTCCTTAACCCATGTGTAACAGAAAGCACAGTAATAGAGTACAAGTTACCTGAATATTATGTGTGTCATTTGGATGCAACAGAAAGTGAACTTCCTCAAGAGACTGAATTTTTTTTTTACGACTGAATTTGAACACCTGGTCAAACATTAATTTAGCAACAACAGGCTTAGGAAACCCTAAATTCCCTGTTCCAATTGCTGGGAATGTGATTGACTTTAAAGAGAGTTGCTCAGCAGTCTGAAGACATTCCGTGATGATGTCTCTTAGGAGCTGTGAATCACAACAAAGTTCGCGTTAGTACATGCAGTTTAATATTTTTAATAGAGTATTTTATATTAAAATATCATAGTTAAACATGGATTAATTCAAAATGAGCTTAGTTATATCAAAATTAACAGAGCTGACCCCTAGGAAATGCTCCACTGATTTCAGTGGAGAATTCACATTAAATCTACATTCCTGCCAACTGAGAAACCCATTCAATCAAACGAGAATTAGGAAAATAGCCTTCTACCTTCTGAACAGATTCTTCCCCATTTTTCCATCCAGGAACAATGGCATGAAGCACAAAACGGCAGCCCAGATTACATCCATCTGTTTTGAACACAGACCCTTCACTAGCTACTTTTTCTAGGCCTTCTTCAGATAACTGTGCTTGCAGCATCGGACCCGCCTTGCTCAGCAAGGCTTTAGAGAGTGGACCTTTATCAAGCTGTAGATCTCGGGAAACGCTGTTTACGATGACGTCCGTCTTAAACAAAATCAAATATCGGTTATAAGATTAAACTTGAAACATTTAAGGCTAAGTGACTATAACAGCACCTGCAGATTTAAGAAATAAAGCAAATTTAAAAAGTAGCAATCTGGAACAAAGCAAATCTTTTGAACAAAATCAGGCCAAATTATACTCAGTTATACCTACATCAGCCCACTGATTTTTGTGGGGTAGCTTGCGTATAACAGAGTGAAATTTGTCCCTTATGCAGCAGTTTATATTTTACATGGAAATGTCAGACTCCTGTGTTCTTACTCTACTCTCTCTACGTCCATTTGAAAAAAACCCATATACGATTCTCCTGCAGGGGGATAACATACTCGTAATGGTCCTGCCCATACTGCATCCCCATCAGCAGAGTAAAACTGACATGATGCTACTACTGAATTCCAGATGCCTTGCTGCTCCTGTTAGCACCGCAGGGTAAACTGGTATGAGTAGGAGCAGCCACATGGGTGCAGTTATGTGGAAAGGGAAGTGAAGGAAGAGTTACAGAAGAGAAAGAGGAAAAAAAGAGAAGGAATGAACTGAAGGAGAGAAAGAAGAAAGGGAAAGGGTTAATTCTCTCACTCCCTAGGTCAACATGGGTTATGAATGATGTGCAAACAGCACAGTCAGTCCCAGAGAGGAGTGCAGTACATCATGCTCTAGTTAACTGCTCTGACCAAAGGAGGATGTTACTTTTACGGGCTGTGGCAGCCACAGCCAGCACTGTTAAGATGCACAGCTGGTTATCATGTGGATCCTCTGAGTGGCACTAAAAGGGGCAAAAATAAGGCTCCAGAAGATGCTCTCTGCCTCAGACAAAAAAGGGAGAGATTGCTGAATCAAAGAGAGTGAAAGGGACAGATGTAAAGAACAAGGAGATAAAGACTGGACAGAAATAAAGTGGTGGAGATGGAAGAGAAATGCATCAACTTGAAAGCCAGAGGAAAAAGACAAAGACTTTAAGGAAAAAGAAGAGAGAGTTAGAAAACAGAGAAGGAAATAAGTGAGTTACTTAATTGGGAGTTTTGGCTGTTGGTCCAATTAATGGTTAAAAGAATTCAATGCTGGTGGAATCTGAAAATTGGTAGGCAGTTAACACTGCATGGACTATGCACGATCCATTCACTACAGGTACCAGAGATAATTAATCCTTCCCAGGTAAAGAAGCTTTGAGAGACGTGATCCAAAGCACCACTAAGACACTGAGATGCTGCAGCAATGGGGCCACGTACATTTCCAGAGAGAAGACAGCTCACTGTTACGGCTCATATGCCACCAGGTCAATGGCATTTAAGGGTGTTCAGGATCAGCAATTTAATTTTTACTTGTTTAAACATTTGAAGTTCCGCCACTTCCCCTCATGGAGACTATAGGCAGTTCCTACCCACTCCCCTATAGCAGGGGTGGGAAAACTTTTTGGTCTGAGGGTCACATTGGGTTTCGTAAATTGTATGGAGGGCCGGTTAGGGGAAGGGGTCGTGGCCCGGCCCCCACCTCCTATCTGCCCCCCCCCCGCCCAGGAATCCTGCCCCATCCAACCCGCCCCCATCCCCAACCCCCCCCTGCACCCCCTCATCCAACCCCTCCTCTCATTCCTGATGCCCCCCCGGGACCCTTGCCCCATCCAACCCCCCTTCTCCCTGTCCCATGACCGCTCCCCGAACCCCTGCCCCTGACTGCCCCCCGCCACCCCATCCAACCCCCCCCTTCCTGACTGCCCCCCTGGGACCCCTGCTCCAATTCAACCCCCTGTTCCCCCCGACCGCCCAACCCATATCCACAACCCCGCCCCCTGACCACCACCCCGAACTCCCCTGCCCTCTATCCAATCCCCCCTGCTCCCTGCCCCCTTACCGTACTGCCTAGAGCACTGGCGGCTGGTGGCACTGCAGCCGCGCCACCACCACCACGCAGCACAAAGACTGGGTCAGTCTGGGCTCTGCAGCTGCACTGCCCAGCAGCTCACAGCCCCACCACCCAGAGCACTGCGCTGGCGGCGGAGCAAGCAAGCTGAGGCTGTGGGGGAGGGGAACAGCAGGGATGGGGCCGGGGGCTAGCCTCCTACCCAGGAGCTCGGGGGCCAGGCAGGACGGTCCCGCAGGCCGGATGTGGCCCACGGGCTGTAGTTTCCCCACCTCTGCCCTATAGACTAAGAAGTAGGTATTCTCACACAGCTGGTGAGAGCACAAGAGTGCAAAGGTCATCTTGAAAGCACGTTTCACAACTGGTTTCAGCTCATATCACAATGTGAACTATAAACACAGACAAAACCATCAAGAAATGATAGAAGAGAAACATGTGGTTGCAACAATGAATACAGTTCAAATAACAAAATACAGTCAGTCTAAAATATGTTTGCTCATCTCTATATATGTATAGACAGTATGAAAAACTAAACTTGTCTAACCTATACAATTGTGTTAAAATAATCAATTATGACTTATATTAATATATTGTATATGTTTAATTGTTAATTAAAACTGAAAATCTAAGTATCTTTTCATATATTTTATAACCGAAAACCAACTTTACATAAAGTTGGATAACATCTGATAACTTAAAATACCTACTGTAGCATCTTCAATGCCTCCTTTCTCCAGTATGATGCTTAATCCTTCATCCGTTGTTACCGTCTGGAGACCCTTTCTGCTTTGAGCATTTCTACTTTTTCTGGGCTTGAAGGCTGCGTCAGACGGAGGTGACGAATTGTGTCGGGGTGATTTATCTCTAAACACGTCTTTGAAGGCATCAGTGAAAGCCTGAACTGTTTTCTCTGAAGAGTCCACAAAATAAATCTCTTTCAAGCAGCTTTCCCCTGGAGAATCTTCTAAGGTTTCCTTGATGGATTTTGCAATTGACTGTGCGCACAGTTTTAACGGAAATCCAAATATCCCAGAGCTGATAGCGGGGATGGCTATGGAATGATGATTGTACGTTTCAGCCAGGCGTAGGCTTTCCTTAACTGCTCTTTTTAACAGGCGCACGCACTTTTCTGGTTCACGATCATTCCACCTAGGCCCAACAGCATGAATCACCTGTTTACACCGGAGGTTCCCAGCATCTGTAATAACAGCACGGCCGGGCTGCAAAGGGCCTCGTTTCTGCACAATACGGTCACATTCTGTTTGTAGTTCTGGCCCTGCAGCTTTTAAAAGTGCCTCAGCAAGGCCACCAATATGCTTTAAGTCCTCATTTGATGCATTCACCACAACGTCAGCTGGATGACTGCACAAGTCCCCTTTATAAACTGCTACTACAACTCCATCTTGCAGGATCTTTTCACAGGCAGGCTGGCCTTGCTTCTTATACACATTACTAACTTCACCATCTTCTCTTTGTTCTTCTCCTTCTTGCAGCCTGATCAGACAGTTAAATTGTTGTTTCACACCAGTCACATACAAGTGTTCTTGTTCTTTGAAAAATACCTTGGCCCCTGGTTTATCAATTACCACATTTTCTGAATGTAGTGAAGACAGAATTTGTTCAATTTTGGTGACCGCCTGCAACACTTCCGCTCTTGGTCCACTCAGGGAAATACCTTTTCGTTTATTCTGTGTGCCAAATTCAATTTTCACACCTTTCTTTTTTAATTCAAGCCAAATATTGGACTTTTCCTTCTCCACAAACATTACAACTGCCACACACTTAGCTATGACGACTTTTTGTACCAGAGTGTGTTTATCTACAAAATCAGAAAGTTGCTGATATGCTTCTGCTACTGCTCTGAAATAACCAGCAATGACTATTTGATCCTCCAACTCAACAATTATTATAGTTTCTTTGGAACAGTTATGTGCCTTGTACAAATGGTTGACGAGCTCCCTCCATTCTCTCTTTTTGAGGACTGAGTTGTCCTCCAGGTCAATGCATTTGTAAGTCAGAACCTTCTTCATTTCTTCTTCTGCTTCTAGAAGAACTCCAGGAGAACCTGCTATCAGCATTATGTTATCAGTGCCAAGCTCATAAAAGGCATTAATTTGATTTGACATAAATAAGTGCTGTGACAGAGTTTCATTATCTACGTGTTGTAGGAACTGGAAAATGTAAGGATGGACATTGATCGATTTCTGTGCCATGCTGTGCACTTTTTCTAGTATTTCACTTTTGACTTTAAATACTTCTGCAGCCACTCCATACAGACTAATACTCTTTGATGACGCATCATAATGTATCTTGAGAGATGGGTACTCCTTGTAAACATTCTCCTCTAGCCCAGCAAGGTGTAAAATTGCATACTTTCCTGGGTCAACTAACATAGTTTGTTCTATGCTCTGCTTTTCTCTTTCAATTTTTTTCCTGGCATTTTCTATTAGCTCCTTCAGTTCTTGCTCTGCACCCTTCATAATCTCCGTGTTACCTACTAAGACAACCATGTTCTTGGGAATGTCAGGTATGATCAAAACACCATCCTTTACCAAGCAGTTTCTTATGGCTTCCCACACCACTGAATTTACTTCACATTTAATGGCCTTGTACTTTGACATGCTACATGAGAATTTTTTAGAAACATCTTCATTCCATGTCTTGATCAACCTGATCATTGATCTCTGTTTAGATAAGGCATTTGAGGGACACAGTGTTATTTCTGGATTTGCACAGTTGGATTGAGGCCACATTAGTTCACATTTGCAATCTGCCATTTCATGATTTATTTCCTGGATTAGCCTATTATCGGTCTGTAAAAACTGCAAGATGTAAGGATCCAGGGACATTGTAATTGGTTCTGGCAGCTTTATTTGTGGCCTTTTCTTTCCATATAGAGCTGTACCCAATGAGCTGTAGTATGGATACACATAAATTGGTACTTTGTCGAGTGAATGCTGCTTTGCCAAGACAGTGTTTACATCTAAATATAAAATAAAATAAAAATTACCCAAGTCAAATCAATTAACTGTAACACTTTAAAAAAAATCTGAAGATAATTAGCTTATAAATTGCAATTCATGAGCTACTGTATTTCTTTTGATTCTGACAGGAGTGATTTTTAGGTTCAATATGTTTTTTTAAATTGAATAAGAATATTTCCAAGTTACTGACAAGTGACATTTTTCTAAGTACAGTAACTCCTCACTTAACATTGTAGTTATGTTCCTGAAAAATGTGACTTTAAGCGGAACAATGTTCAGTGAGTCTAATTTCCCCATAAGAATGAATGTAAATGAGGAGGTTAGGTCCCAGGGAAATTTTTTTCACCAGACAAAAAATATATATATTATATAGATATTATACATTTTAAACAAACAATTTAATATTGTTCACAGCTATGATGATTGTGAAGCTTGGTTTAGGTGGTGAAGTTTGAGGGTGGAAGAGGGAGGGATATTTCCCAGGGAATGCCTTACTGCTAAATGATGAACTAGCACTCGGCCGAACCCTCAAGGGTTAAGACATTGTTGTTAATGTAGCCTCTCACACAAGGCAGCATGAACACGAGGGAAGGGAGACTGCATAGCAGACAGAGACAGACACACACCTTGTGTGTGTGTGAGAGAGAGAGAGAGATGCACACTGCCCCTTTAAGTAAGCTGACCCATTCTTAAGTGCATTGTCTTTTTAAGTGGATCAGGAAGTTGAGACAGCAGCTGCTGCCCCAGACTCAGGGCCGGCTCCAGGCACCAGGCAACCAAGCACATGCTTGGGGCGGCACCTGGTAAGGGGCGGCCAATCTTGGGGTGGCGGGGGGTGGCGCGGCACGGCATTCCGCGGGCGGCGCGTCGCTCGGCGGGGGGTGCTCCGGCGGCACACGGTGCTCAGGGAGGGGTTCCGGCAGCGCGGCACTCGGCGTGGGGCGTGGCGCTCAGGGGGGTGGGCTCCGGCGGCGCGGTGCTCGGGGGGGGGGGCGGTTCCTGGCGGCGCGGCGCTCGGCTCGGCGGGGCAGCGCTTTTTTTTGCTGCTTGGGGCAGCAAAAAAGTTAGATCCGGCCCTGCCCAGACTCTCTCTGTCTCTCTCCGTCCATGTCTCCTCCCTACTCTATATGGAGAAGGGGTAAGTGGGGTGCAGGAGCAGGGGGACACCCTGACATTATCCCCTCCCTTCCCCCCCTGCACAGCAATCAGGAGTCTCTGGGAGAAGCTCCAAGGCAGAGGGTAGGAGCAGTACATGGCAGTGAGGGAGGGGGGGAGGGACAGCTGAACTGCAGCACAGGGAACTTAGGGGAGCAGGGAGCTGATAGGGGGGCTGCCGGTCCACCCTGGTTACAAGCCCCCACAAGCTAGCTGCAACAGGCTGTTCTTCCTGCAAGCAGTGGACAAAGCAGGCGGCTGCTAAACAACGTTAGAAGGGAGCATTGCACAACTTTAAACGAGCATGTTCCCTAATCGATCAGCAACATAACAACGAAACAATGTTAACCACGGCGACTAAGTGAGGAGTTACTGTACCCAAAGGCTTGTATATCCTGTATGTTACTGTACTTGCCCACAGCATAACAAGCCATCATACTAGACAGGATTACAAAATAGTAATACTTACTCTTGCCATGTTATAAATAAATCTGAGACATTCCATCCAGAAAAAAAGGAAGAGTTACATTGTAAAGCTCTTTCTACATTTTTTATGTACAGCATATCCATTGTGTGAACAATGAACAACAGTCTGATTAAAGAGGTGTAACTCTATTATGTGATTGCAGAGTCAGACCAAATATATTTTAATCAGCTTCCTGAGGAAAAAAATTGATTTATGGTAATGGGATTTTAAGTGGACTTACAGATTTATAATGCACACAATGTTCCACATTGGAAGTTTAACACAGACATTGGTGTTCTACACTTTTAACCTCTTAGTACCAGATGCTGCTTGCCTTATCTATACATAGACTTGGCAGGATTCAATTATAATTGATAACTGTAGGTAAACGTCTATTTCAGCTGACACTTAAAATAGATGAAAAATAAAAATCAATGGGTCGATGCGCCTGCAGGGATCGAGTGTCACAGACCTGTTGCAGTGTAGGGAGCTCTGTGCAGCTCCCGGGACTGGCTCCATGACAGCAGAGCTGCATGCGCTCCCACAGGGGTGGTGACACCCGATCCCTACAGACACAAGTGCATTGGAGGGTGTGGTTGTCCTGGTCCAGTGGAGCAGAGACCCCCACCCCCGGCCAACACTGTAAGGAGGAGGAGGAGGCCAACCTGCTGCTTAACAGCTCCTTGAAAGGGACAATTCCCACGCTCCTGGCTAGTGAGTGAGAAAGCCAAACCTACCTATACAATTAAGGTCAGCTCCTCAGCTGGAGTAAATAATGGAGCTATTTTGATTTATGCCAGCTGAGGATCTGGTCCTATATTGAAGCTATTGGAACTTCTTGCATGAGCGACTTCTCCCAGAGCTGTTTGTTTATCGCTACAAAACAGAGCAACACTTTCCATTTTAGGAGACTGGTTAAAATGTAACTGGGCAAATATATATTATTTTAAAGGATCTGGCATAATTATAGCCAAAATTAATATTGCATCAGAATTAATTCAAATACTAGTGTGGTGTCTAGCCAAACAGATTAAAACATCCTTAACAACTTGCATACAGTGCCAGTCATCTACAACACAATCTATAATCTTAGGTGTCTGTGGGTAGGCACCTAAATCCCTATTTAGGCAACTACATAAAAGATGTGAGCTCTCAGCACTAGTGCCTAATTTATAAAAATTTGGGGCCAGATTCTTCATTGCATTCTTGGAGTCACTTGAGGAGTTCTCAGCTGGTGCAGAGTTAATATGCAGGCTACTGCACAACATTCCCCATTCTGCACAGAGCTCCAACCAATCCACAGGGAGCCATTGCAGCTGATGTAAATTTGAGTAACCTCAGGACTAAGGGAGCATAAGGCTCAGGGCTGCTGTAATGAAGCTGGGAGCTGAATTCACCCCCCTCTGGCCCCAGGAGTGCCGAGGGCAGAAATGTGGTAATAACATCATCTCTGCCCACCCAGCCACCGCTCAGATGTACTGAACTCAGCCCATGTGCCCACAAGGTCTGAGCCCCTGAAAGGAACTTGGATACCATGGTGAGGAATGTAGACTAAAAATCTAGGTAGAAAGAAAGAAGAGGCTATCCAGGCTCCTAAAAATGCCTGATGAAAATTCACCTTCAACTTATGTGGCATTTTTATTGGCTTTGGAGTCCCTAATTTAAGAAACAGAAAGGACAGAATCCTCGTGCAGACTCAAAGACATTGCAGAGATCCTAACAATGTAATATATGTCCACTGGAAACTAAGTGCCTCATATCAGTCATATTATATCCAGTCCCAAATCTAGGTTTCTAACCTAACAGAGTAACAACCTGCCAAACCATCAAACCAGTTAATTTTTTTCTAAGGGTAAGTTAGCCATTTCTTAAAAGAGTATATTCATTTTCATGTTGATCTTTTAACTGCAAGATTACATAAATGATACATATTTATATGTTACCTTTCTGATCATGGAAAGTAATGATAGCTGCATTCTCTTCAGGTAACTGTTCAACATCGGACACTTGTGCACTTCCATTTCTTTTACTTTCAAAGTAGACAGTTATATAGTCATTAGATACGTTAGGTGGTACATGTTCAGCCTTAATGCTTTTTGTCACCTCAAGATGCCGTGCTGTTATATTTTGTTGCTTCGCCCTATGGTTTTGGTTGAACTTTTCAACAAATTTCCTTATATCTATAAACAGAAAAGAAAAACATTTAACAGATTTTTACTATTATGATATTAGAAAAACAGAAGAAAATAAGCAAGTGTAGGGATCAAAATGTTCAGTTATACATAATTAATCCTTACTAACCAGCTTTGCAAAAGTCTACTTTCCCACTTGCCTGAGTGATTTTTTTTTTTAATAGGGAAGCAAAATATCATTAATTTTTTCACTATCATCAGCCATCATGGTAGAGGGTGGATGAGTAGTTTTTGTGCCTGGTCTTGTAAATAGCAGTTTTACAAATGTAAAATGATTTCCTCAAGGCTACAGAGGGAATCTGTAGCAGACCAGGATTACAGAATTTAGACATTCCTGCCTGAATTTGGTCTTATGCATATGGGCTATAGTTCTCCATACCATCTGATCTGATTTGTTAATCAGATCAGCTACAATTCTTGTTCAGGACAAATCCACATACACCTCTCACTGCTATACAATACAAGGGAATGCCTGTCTTCTGGAATGGTTGTAATCATAATGTTCCCCATCATACATACTGATCAGAGACACTGATGTAAATAAGAATATATTATATAAAATAGGCTAAAGTATCACTCAAGAGAGTACACCAGGGGTCGGCAACGTTTGCAACGCGGCTCGCCAGGGTAAGCACCCTGGCGGGCCGGGCCAGTTTATTTACCTGCTGACGCAGCAGGTTCGGCCGATCGCAGCCCCAACTGGCTGCAGTTCGCTGTCCCGGGCCAATGGGGGCGGCTGGAAGCCGCGGCCAGCACATCCCTTGCTCGCGCCGCTTCTCG